AGAGGACGCTCAATTTTTGCATATCAAAATACTTTTATCGGGACTCCTGCGACGAACTTGTCTTTTAATTTAAATATTCCGTCTTCAGTATGCCATGCGGAATACGTGCCCTTTTTGGGGTACGTAATTTTCTTTTTCGCCACATTTTCCGTCGTAGGATACGCGCGGCGTGCTGTCTCTTGGTTTGACGAGGTAAGTCGCCGTTTTCTTCGCTGTAATAAACTAATTTGCCTGCTGCTACTTGTTACGATTGACATCATATGAAAATGTTTTATTTTCTGCTGCTGCTGCTGTGAGGTTTTGCTGTCATATCTATTTATTTGTTAGCGTATTCCGTGTTGTATTCATTTGTATTCAATTGTAGCTGGTATGATTTCAGGAGAACTTACAGTAGGTTTTCTGTCAGTTTTTCTTATGTTGTCAGTATTTAAAAAAGGGACGATATTTTAGAATTGAAGATGGAAATAATAGTAAACAAAAAAAAAAAAAAACACCAATAGCTGCCAAGATTTTCTCGTTCCGAAATTGAGTTTCACGAACCATTAAGACACGCATTTTATGGCATAAATGTTTTTGAAGATTCCAGAAATAACATACATCGTTTAGGGGAGATGATTTTACAAGAATTTGAAGGATGTGCTTGTAAGCATTATGCCCAAGAATAATTTTGTCAGTAGTTTATTTTACTCCTTTTAATATGAAATTTTGTTTTCTATATAAAGAAAACTTTCAATATCATTTTTTCTAAAGTGTTCCTCCTAGCCTAACATATGCGCTAATTCATTCAGACATCTCGTTACCTATCCCTCTATCCTGAGGTGACCATATTATTTATTATAGGTTTGTCTCAACGCTTAATGCATATGGTCTCTGCTGATAACCGTACGAATTCCTAAAGGTCTGCAATGCACATTAGCTTACTATACCATTACGGGTTGTCCATAGTTTGTTATGGTGCTAAAATCAATTTACTTGGTCAAGGTCAAGTCGTTTGCAGGTTTCTCATTTCTGCTGCTGCTGTGAAGCTTTGCTGTCATGTCTGTTTATTAACATATTCCGTATTGTATACATACGTTTGCAAAAGACTGCTAAGGTGTTTCTCTTAGCCTAGCATATGTGATAAGTCCTTCAGACGTCCGATTCTTCCGTGGTCTTATTCTTTATCTTTGAAATCTGGTGGTACTAACAATAAAGACAATGATAATAATTCCCAATGTGAATAATATAAATGATGTAAGATCTTACACTTAACTTTAAATCATGTCTGTCCTTAAGAAGCATTTTGCGATAATTTTCATATTGATTAGATGTGATGATTCCAAAATTAACTGTCCCAGAATAAATGTAACCCAAGAATATGAACGACATTTATTTTCTGTTTAAATAATTATATAAAACCATATATTTCTGAAAACTAGACACGTTAACAAATCTATTGCTACAAAAGATATGTCACTAGCTCTGCTGGCAAAGATTTTATCGTCATTTATAGTATATGCGGCAAATGTGCTCCGTTCTGCTGAAGACTCACTTGAATTCTTCGGGCAAAATGTCCATGACTTTGATGCACTGTTTCTTTTTGTATAGCTAAGATTTCTTGATTGATTGCTGCCTTTAGCTCTGAGATGGTGTGGGTGTTTTTACTGTAGGACTCGATCCTTAAGATACCCCGACAGATTAAAATCTGAGCGGTTGAGGTCGGGAGAATGCGGAGACAACTCAGGTTCATATTTACGGCTGAAGAGTCGGTTGAAGAACATCTGGTGCCCTTTCTGAACTCTGGTTGCACCTCTGCCACACCCCATGAGATGATTTGGTGAGGCTAATGCCCAGCACCATTCTACGGACAGATTTCTTCGGATTACTGCCCACTGAAGCAGCTGCTATGTTTTCAGAAGACCTTACAGTAGGTTTTCTGCCAACTTTGACTGTTAGAGACTTTTTTCTTATGTTCTTGATTGTCCCTGTAGCCTCAAACTTCTTCATCCATCGGTAAATGTCAGTTTTGTTAGGGTTTTCATTTTTCTGCGGAGTTTTGCGATGGCATATTTATAGGAATTTCTCTCCAATTTTGTCAGCACACAGAACATATTTTGTTCTTCTGTAAAAGACATTGTAGTCGGTGTTCTGGTTTTGCTACTTACTCAGGTTTCTAAGTCTGAAACCTAAAAATAAAATATTAAAAATCAGAAAAATTATATACGTTTATTTAGGTTTCATTACTACTGGGACATCCTTTACAATACGTCAGTGAAGGATTTTGCTTTTGAATAGACCACAATTGGCTTCAATAATAAGTTTCGGCAGAAATTTTTGCAATAAGTCATAACCCTAAGAGAAGAAAATAATAATTTAGCGGTTGGTTTCCTACTGATAAAACTGATTTGGAATTAATTTCGTCAGTATTTAAAAAAAAGAAAATAAACTTTGGAAATGAAAATTGAAATAATAGTAAAAAATAGTAAAAAAAAAAAAAACACCAATTACCGCCAAGATTTTCTCTTTCCGAAATTGAATTTCACGAACCATTTAAATCTCGCATTTTATAGCTTTAAATGTTTCGAACATTCCAGAAATAACAAACAGACATCGTGTAGGAGAGATGATTTTACAAGAATTTGAAGGATGTGCTTGCAAACATTATGCCCAAGAATAATTTTGTCGGTATTTTCTTTTGCTCCTCTTTAATATGGTAATTTTGTTTTCCGTATAACGAAAACTTTCAATATCATTTTTTTGTGTGTAATTTCTTGAAAGGATACGTTCAGTTCTCTGGTTATTCGTTTTTATAAATCTGTATTTAAAGAAAAATGTTTAGCTTCTATATCCGACGTTTTACGTCCTTTCGATTTTGGTTTAACGCAATTGCTTTTCTGATTTTTGATTCTTTTTTTGACTAACTCTGGCGAACCGATTCGTTATTAATTTTAGGTACGAATTCAAAATTGTTTCCAGACGAATTTGTTCTAATATTTTTTTTTATTCAGTTTCTCTTTCAATAATCATTTCTTTCTATTTTTTCTCTTTTATTTGACTTTCTCTAAATAGGTATTGATTGGTTTCTTTCTGCCTTTTTCTCTTCTTTGTTTTTCTTTCCTTTCTTTTTCCTTTCTTTTACTTTTATTTCTTTTTCTTTCTTTCTTTCTTTCTTTCTTTTTTCTTTCTTTCTCTTGCCTTCCTATCTTTAGTTTCTTTCTTTCTTTCTTTTCCTTCCTTTCTTTCTTTCTTTCTTTCATTCCTTTATTTCCTTCTTTCTTTTTCCTTCCGTTCTTTAATTTTCCATTCTTACTTTTCCTTTCTTTCTTTCTTTCTTTCTTTCTTTCTTTCTTTCTTTCTTTCTTTCTTTTGCCTTTCTTTCTTTCTTTCTTTCTTTTGCCTTCCTTTCTTTCTTTTGTCCTTCTTTTTTCTTTTTCCGTCCTTCCTTTTCCTATTCTTTCTTTCTTTATTTCTTTCTTTCTTTCTACATTCTTCAATGGAAGAAAGAAAAAAAGGAATCTTTTTTCTTTTCTTCCATTCTTTCTTTCTATCGTTTTTATTGCTTACTTTTTTGCTCTTTTTTTGTTTTTTATGCTAACATTTCTCTTTCTTTCTTTTGTCTTTTTTTCGTTCAAAAAATTCTAAGCCTCACCCAGAAGGAGTTAGAGAGATCAAGACAGTTTTTCACTATTTATCAATATCCCCCTCCCTGAAATCAATGCACTTGGCCCGACGATGCTTAACCATTACAATCCCATCACAGAAGAAGATGGTGTCCAGGTACTCCAAACACTCTTGCACTGCACATATAATCTCATAATCGTTTCCAAAATGGCGACCATGCAGATGGGATTTGAGTTTAAGAAACATGAAGCAGTCAGATGGAGTTAAATCTGATGAATCAAGGAAATGAGATAGCAATTCAAAGCAACAGTTGCATATTTCAGCTACTGCAACCTGAGCAGTGTAAATGGACAAGAGTAAAACTCCCTTCAGCATTTCTCTGCATTTCGACTTTCTTGCTTCCTTCAGTTGTTTTCATTCTCATGCACCCTACTGTCCATTATTAGTTTCCCGCCTTTTCCAGGTAGTTTATCAGAATTACGCCTTCAGAATCTCAGAAAACTGAATCCATCACCTTGCCAACAGACGCTGGCTGGATGAACTTCGGGATTGGAGCACTCGAGAGTTTCCACCGCTGGCTTTGAACATTTGATTCAAGCTAAAAGTGGTGAAACCAGGTTTCATCTTAAGTTACTAACTTTCTGTGAAAATTCTCAGGGTTATACTGGAAGCGAGTTAGAAGTGTCCTGGAAATGTAATCCTCTTTCATCTTTTGATACGTTCTCAGGATTCTTGGGACGGCTTATTCATCTCCAAGATGTATTCAAATAATATAGACCAAACCAGAACTTATGGCTTTGGTGTTAGTTATCGGATGGACAGTAAGCTATCTGTCCTCCAAAATCATACAGTGAATGGCATCAACTTTGGGACGACCTCTCATCTTTGTATGAGCCTCATCTGTACAGAAATTAAAGCAGGATTCTTAATTAGTTTTTTCTGATTGTTTTAATAAGTGTTAGTCTGTTTTTGAAAGACCATTGTATATTATTTGCAATTTAAAAAAAAAATCTTTATTGTTTTTTCTTAATATCCTATCTCTGTTTATGTTTCGCCATTTTTGTGTATTTCTTTCGTCATGATTGGTTCTTTTCTTACTTTCTTTCTCTTTTTTTTATTTTCTTCTTTCTTTCTGTCGACATTGATTTTGGTTTGGATTTTGATCTTATTTTCTTTTTCTCTTTTTTCTTTCTTTCTTTCTTTAAAGATTTCTGACTTGTTATTAATTTATTCATATCTGTCGACTTTCTTTTTCATTTTTATACATGGCTTTTCTTTCTTCATAACTTGACTTTCTTTGATACATTATTTTTATATTATTCAATCGTTCATTCAACATTTTTCTTTCTTCTTTTCTATCGCTCTATTCACTATTTCTTTTTCACTTCCTTTGTTTCTTCATGGATATTCGTTCAAATTTATGTTCATTTTTCTTGATTACCTTATTTATATATTTCTTTCTTTTTAATTCTCTACATTTTCTTTCATTCTTTCTCTCTTTCTTTCTTTCTTTCTTTCTTTCTTATTTCTATGTTTCTTTCTTTTTAATTCTCTACATTTCATTTCTTTCTTCCTTTCTTTCATTCTTTCTTTCTTATTTTCTCTCTCTCTCTCTCTCTCTTTCTTTCTTTCTTTCTTTCTTTTGCTTTTTTATGTCTTTTTACGTTTTGGCTCTTTTATATATACAGAACATTTTTTTTCTGCACTGCTATTTATTTTTCAGCGTTCTTTTTGTCTTTTTTATCCTTTTTTTCTCGTGGAGTTTCTTTTTAATTCATTCAATATTCACAGTTCTTTCTTTTTTCTTCATGGCATTATTTTTTTTCGTGTACTTTTTTTTTTCTCTCCAACTCTCATTCGTTCTTTCCTTCATGAATTTTCTCTTCTCTTTTTTTTCTATATTCTTTCCTTCCTGTCTTTTTATTTGTCTTTCCTTCTCACTTTATTCCTTCATTTTCCATCAGACTATTTTCATTCTTTTTTCTCCTTTTGAGGTATATTTCTCCAATGTTTTTTATTATTATTATTATTTCTTTCTTTCATTTTTTCATGTTTTGCCTTTATTCTTTTTTATTTCTTTCTACTTCCTTTCTTTTTTCATGGATTCTCCACTCCTTTTTCTCATTATTTCTTTGCACTTTACTTTTTATTCATTCTTCTCCATAGTATTTCTTTCTTTCTTTTATCATTGTCTTTATTTTTTATACTTGTCTGTCCTTCCTATTTTTCGTCATGATAGTTTTCTTTCATTTTATCTTCATTCATTCATTCATTCATTCATTCATTCTTACTTTGTATATTTCTTGCTGCTTATTCCTATTCTTTTTTTTATTTTTGCTTCTTTCCTCATAGCCTTTTCATTTTATTCTTTACTTGTTTCTGCATTTTCACTTTCTTCATACCACTTTCATTCTTTCTTTCGTAGTTATTTGTTTGCTTGTTTTTTTTCTTTCTCTCGTCATTATCTTTTTGTTTTTGTTTTAATTTTCATTCATTTTTTTCTTTCTTCATGACACTTTTCTCTTTTTACTTCTTCGCATGTTTTTCTTGTTTCTTCAAGTCACTTTATTTCTTTCGTTCTTTTTCGTTTTTCTTCGTTATTCTTCGTGCCACCTTTATTTCTTTCGTTATTTTTCGGTATTCTTCGTTATTCTTCATGACACTGTATTTCTTTCCATATTCTTCGTGGCAACTTATTTCTTTCATTATTCTTCGTTTTTCTTCGTTATTCTTCGTGCCACATTATTTTTTTCGTAATTTGTCGTTATTCTTCGTTATTTTTCGTACCACTTTATTTCTTTCGTTATTCTTCGTTCCACTTTATTTCTTTCGTTATTTTTCGTTTTTTTTCGTTATTCTTCGTGCCACATTATTTTCTTTTCGTCATTTTTCGTTATTCTTCGTTTGTGTTCCTAACACTGTATTTTTTTCCTTATTCTTCGTACCACTTTATTTCTTTCATTATTCTTCGTTATTCTTCGTTCTTCTTCGTGCTATTTTATTTCTTTTGATATATTTCGTTATTCTTCGTTATTCTCCGTTCCACTTTATTTCTTTCGTTATTCCTAATATTCTTTTTTTATCCTTTCTTTATTTTTCTTTCTTTCTTTCTTCGTGTCTCATTTTTCAATTCTTCATCATCCTTCCTTTATTTTCTTTCTATTCTTTTTGACACATTACTTTCTTTTCGCATATTTTTTCTAGATTTATTTTCTTTCTTGTTTTCGTTCCTTTATTCTTTTCTTTCTTCCCTTCTTTATTCTTTCCTTACTCTCCTTCTTTCTTTCTTTCTTTCTTCCCATCGGTCTTTATTTAATTCTTTCTTTCATTGTTTCTTTCTTTTCATAATGATTTCATAATATTTTCCAATCTTTAAATCTCCACCCATTTTATCGCTTTTTACAGTCGTTTGCACATCTTTGTCTATATTTCTTAATTCATAGTTTCCTTATTTTTTCTCACTTTCTAATTTCTTTGTATCCTTGTTTCTTTGATTGTGTTTTTCTTTCTCTATTCATTCCTTGCTTCTTTCTTATTTGTTTGCTTTCTTTCTTTTTTTTAAATCTCTTTCTCTGTTCTTGTCTCGATTCTTTGTTTATTTCTTTTTTTCTTTTTTATTTCTCTCTTTCTTTGCTTGTTTTTATTTATTTCTATTTACTTTACTTGCTTCATTTACCTTTTTTCTTCCTTTATTCCTTCCTTTTTTCCATTATTGTTTGCTTCTTTTCTTTCTGTTTTGCATCTTTCTTTCTTCCTTTCTTTCTTTTTTTTCTTTCTTTCATTCATTCTTTCTGGCCTTCGTTAATTCCTTTCTGTCTTGCTTCATTTTTCCTTTCTTTCTTTCTTTCTTTCTTTCTTTCTGTACTTCATTTATTCATTTCTTTCTTGCTTTATTTTCTCTTTCTTTCTTCTTCTTTCTTCTTCTTTCTTTCTCTCTTTCTTTCATTCATTCTTTCTGGCCTTCGTTAATTCCTTACATCATTTTTCCTTTCTTTCTTTCTTTCTTTCTTTCTTTCTTTCTTTCTTTCTTTCTTTCTGTACTTCATTTATTCATTTCTTTCTTGCTTTATTTTCTCTTTCTTTCTTCTTCTTTCTTCTTCTTTCTTTCTCTCTTTCTTTCATTCATTCTTTCTGGCCTTCGTTAATTCCTTTCTGTCTTACATCATTTTTCCTTTCTTTCTTTCTTTCTTTCTTTCTTTCTGTACTTCATTTATTCATTTCTTTCTTGCTTTATTTTCTCTTTCTTTCTTCTTCTTTCTTCTTCTTTCTTTCTCTCTTTCTTTCATTCATTCTTTCTGGCCTTCGTTAATTCCTTTCTGTCTTGCTTCATTTTTCCTTTCTTTCTTTCTCTACTTCATTTATTCCTTTCTTTCTTGCTTTATTTTCTCTTTCATTCTTCTTTCTTCATCTTTCTTCTTCTTCTTTCTTTCTTTCTTTCTTTCTTTCTCTCTTTCTTTCATTCATTCTTTCTTCCTTCGTTAATTCCTTTCTGTCTTGCTTCATTTTTCCTTTCTTTCTTTCTCTACTTCATTTATTCCTTTCTTTCTTGCTTTATTTTCTCTTTCTTTCTTCTTTCTTCATCTTTCTTCTTCTTTATTCTTCTTCTTTCTTTCTTTCTTTCTTTCTTTCTTTCATTCATTCTTTCTGGCCTTCGTTAATTCCTTTTTGTCTTGCTTCATTTTTCCTTTCTTTCTTTCTCTACTTCATTTATTCCTTTCTTTCTTGCTTTATTTTCTCTTTCATTCTTCTTTCTTCATCTTTCTTCTTCTTTATTCTTCATCTTTCTTTCTTCCTTTCTTTCTCTCTTTCTTTCATTCATTCTTTCTGGCCTTCGTTAATTCCTTTCTGTCTTACATCATTTTTCCTTTCTTTCTTTCTCTACTTCATTTATTCCTTTCTTTCTTGCTTTATTTTCTCTTTCATTCTTCTTTCTTCATCTTTCGTCTTCTTTATTCTTCTTCTTTCTTTCTTTCTTTCTCTCTTTCTTTCATTCATTCTTTCTGGCCTTCGTTAATTCCTTTCTGTCTTGCTTCATTTTTCCTTTCTTTCTTTCTCTACTTCATTTATTCCTTTCTTTCTTGCTTTATTTTCTCTTTCTTTCTTCTTTCTTCATCTTTCTTCTTCTTTATTCTTCTTCTTTCTTTCTTTCTTTCTTTCTTTCTTTCATTCATTCTTTCTGGCCTTCGTTAATTCCTTTCTGTATTGCTTCATTTTTCCTTTCTTTCTTTCTTTCTTTCTTTCTTTATTTCTTTCTTTCTTTCTTTCTTTCTTTCCTGCCGTCATACATTCATTCCTTTCTTTCTTGCATTATCTTTTCTTTTCTTTCTTTTCCTTTCTTCTTTTTTCCTCATTTTTTTTCTTTCTTTCTTTCTTTCTTTCTTTCTTTCTTTCTTTTTGTCCTTCATTCATTCTTTTCCTTCTTGCTTTATTTTTCCTTTTTTATTTCCTTTCTTTTTTTTTCGTTAGTTTTCCCTTTCTTTCTTTCTTTCTTTCTTTCTTTCTTTCTTTCTTTCTGTCCTTCATCCATTCCTTTTTTCTGGCTTTATTTTTTCCTTTCTTTTTCCTTTCTTTCTTCTTTTCTTTCTTTCTTTCTTTCTTTCTTTCTTTCTTTCTTTCTTTCTTTCTTTCCATACTCATTCCATAATATTTCCAAATCTTTAAATCCTTCACTCAATCTCTTTGACACAAAAATTTCCGGTTCATTTTTTTTCTGTTTTTTCTTTCTTTCTTCGTTTTTTTTCTCTTTCCACCAATACTTCTGTACGTTTTTTTTTTTATTTCTCGATCAATACACGGATTGTATTTATTCTTTATATTGAATAGAAGCGATCGAATAACTGAGAATGTGCCCTTAACTCCAAAGTCCATGTCTCGAGTCACTGGTCTCCGACTTTAGATAATCATATTTCTTCTTTTAAGCATTGGCTAATATAACACGGTTCAGTGTCTGTAACAAGTGAAACCGGATATCGACCGCATGTTTACCGAAGATGAGAACGGCAAAATCTGACGGTTATATATTTATGTAAGTAAATAATTTCCGTCTTGATATGAAATAGCAAACCCAATATGTATTCTTCATCTCCGTTCTACCTGCGTGTTGGAAAGAAATCGAAGACACTTGAAGGGGGTGCATCTCTGGTGGATAATGATTTTAGTTATTGATTTTGCAGCGAATGAAATTCTTGAACAGAACGCTTATCAGAGATCATGTGTCGGGAAGAATAGCGATCGAGTGATCGAAGATCAGCTCTGAAATGTTAGGTTTAGGGAAAAGAAGAAGAAGAAGAAGAAAAGAAAGGGGAAAGAAAAGAAAGAAGAGAAAGAAGAAGGAGAGAAAGAAGAAGAAAAGACGATAAAAACACGAAGAATATTAGAGGGTATCAGAAAAAAAGACCAGTTATTAAATAAGAAGAAGAACAATAAGGGATGAATATTCAAAAGAAGAAGAAAAAGAAGAAGAAGAAGATGAAGAAGAAGAAAAAAAAGAAGAAGACATAAAAACACGATACAAAGACGAAGAAGAATTAAAGTGCATCATAAAGAAAGACCAGATATTAAAGAAGAGGAGGAAGAAAAAAGGGATCTGCATTCAAAAGAAGAAGAAGAAGAAGAAGAGGAGAAAGAAGAAAGAAGAAGAGAAAGGAGAAAGAAGAAGAAGAAGAAGAAGAAGAAGAAGAAGAAGAAGAAGAAGAAGAAGAAGAAAAGTACATAAAAACACGATATAAAAACGAAGAAGAATTAAAGTTCATCAGAAAAAAAAACAGATATTAAAGATGAAGAAGAAAAAGAAGAGATGTGTATTCAAAAAAGAGAGGAGGAAGATTAAGTTGTGCATCTAAGGAAAATACGAGTTAAAGACACTGATGAGAATAAGCAAATGAAGAAGATATTATATATATTTTTTCCGTTAGCGAAGCCTGAAAAATGATGGCAAAAATATTGTATTCCTCAACAAGCTTCTTTTAAGAATCATTTTACGCTATTATGACAGTGTGTATAGTTGCGCACAGTAGGAGACTATAACCTATTTCTATTCAACATCTAGACTTGGTCTAGACAAAATAAACACGAGGCACTGTGTACACAACACCGTTAGAATGACATTCCTAGGAAGAGCCTATCACTCGGAGAAAGCAGCTCGTAAGATATAATGATGATGTATATACGCATTTGCGTGTGTGTGTGTATAAATATATATATATATGTGTGTGTGTGTGTGTGTATATATATATATATATATATATATATATATATATATATATATATATGTGGAGAGAGAGAGAGAGTAATCCACAGACTGACTGTTTCTGTTGTTTCACAATGTGGCTAGACATCAATTTGCTTCAACCCGGAATTGAAACTCGACATCTGCTAGAGACACTTACCCCAAGGCTATAGGCATAGGGAAAAGAAATGAAAATATATATATATATATATATATATATATATATGAATTCTCTGAGATAAGCAATATTATATCAGATATGAAGAAAATAGTTTCTAAAAACATCAAGTACATGTTAATTGTAAACAATATGTCCTTAGAAACATTATTAAGAACTATACAAATAAATTAATTTGATTAATTTTTATAAAAATTTTAAACAGCCTGAGCTTGGCTGTTTAAAAAATTATAAATTTTAAATTTTAAAACTTTAAATTTTTCACAAATTTTATTTGAACAAAAAATAAATATACTAAACTGTATAAATACATGCATGCAACAACCTATTTCTTTTTGACTGTTAATATATTTTAACCTTGAATATGGCTAAATGTATAGCCGAAAGTACACGGATTTAAACAATATTCGGACAGTTTTTATATAATTCAGCATCTGAAAATTTATAAGATCATATTGAAGAAATAATATAGAAAACTAAATCAAAATACCTTGTTTGTTTCATACAATGAAAGAAGGATTGCTGCCTAAATTCCAACTTTTTATATATATATATATATATATATATATATATATATTAAACAGAAAAGAGAAGCCGCAAACGTTTTTGGTAATAATACGCATTTTTAGAATTATATATTATACATTATTTACCATAGTTGTCCTACACGCGTTTCGGGTCTTGTAACTTTCATCAGGCGAAGAATTTAGATATATTTAAATAGATCGCTTCAGAGATGATATTTCAATACGCAGTGTCTCTATTAATACTTTCACATATGTAAATAAAAATGTAAGCGATATATCTCTCAGGTTAATAAGCAACAGGTGATATTCATGCACCTGATTGCAATGTTTGTAATGAGGTTGCTAGTAGTGGAAGGTCTCACTGAAGATGAGAAGAGAAGGCACGCAAAGCTTAAAAATGTTTGCGTAAAGGCGTCCCAGTTGAGTTTTCTAAAGACGTGCAGGCAGCTCGATCTGACGTGTACAGATTGTGGTAGAGAGTGTCCGTCGATAGCTGGTCTAAGGATTCACTTGAAAGCGTACCAACTTAAATGTGCTATATGTGGTAAGATATGCGGGTCCAGAAGCGGTTTCACGCGATATTTTTAATTCCATATTAATTTAACACACGCTTTTGGCCATCTTAATTGTCCTGTTTGTGGCATATATTTAGATTTTCTGCAAAAAAATATGTTGCAACGGCCATACTCAGACACGAGATGCAAACCACCATATAGAGATAGGGTGTATGAAAATATAAATATAAAAGCGAACATTGACGTCAATACCCAGAGACTACAGGCTGTTTCATGTTGGACGCAATCGTCAGGTCGCTTGACGATTGCGTCCAGCATGAAACAGCCTGTCGCCTGTGAGTGTTGATTTAATGTTCAGTTATATATATATTTATTAAAGACATTTTTATGTTTAACGTTGTTATTTATAGATACAAGTATTTAAGCAAATGCTCTGTTTATGATAAACAGTATTAAATAACATTTACCGGCCTGAATGTCCGAGAAATTTTCATAGAAAATATTCGTTCTTTGACAGGATTCGAACCTGCATCCTATACGAAACCGTCATATACGCTGACGTGCCTTTACCGTCTCGGCCACAAAGAACCTTTCGGTAGACAAGGTCGAATTTACTGCTTATAAACTTCAATCTTCCATGAATCCCGTACATTCATAACTGCTCTGGCGTATCGAATGTAAACAAATGACGTCATTAAGGCACGTCAGCGTATATGACGGTTCCGTATAGGATGCAGGTTCGAATCCTGTCAAAGAACGAATATTTTCTATGAAAATTTCTCGGACATTCAGGCCGGTAAATGTTATTTAATACTGTTTATCATAAACAGAGCATTTGCTTAAATACTTGTATCTATAAATAACAACGTTAAACATAAAAATGTCTTTAATAAATAAATTGTCGGACCTTGTCCATTTCTTAACATATATATATATATATATATATATATATATATATATATATATATATTATATATATTGTACGTTATACACATATATATATATTGTATTTAAGTAAATTCTCTGTTTTAATTAAATGATATTAATTACATTCACACATATTGCCTGGGAAATGTTTCGAACATTCAGGCCAGTAAATGTAATACTGTTTAATTAAAAACAGAGCATATAAACAGAAAATATATTGGATAATTTTGGGAACTGATCCATTTCAATATATATATATATATATATATATATATATATATATATATATATATATATATATATATATATATATATATATATAAAACATCTACAGTCAAATGGAATTAATATGAAAAGCTAGAAGATGTAAGCCATTGAATGACCTTGTACTTACATGAGAAACTATATATTACTAGTTTTATAAAAATAAATGTTTACTAAATCAGAGAAATGAATTAGCTATTTTTGCCGTCATTGTCATAAATTTTACTTAAATAATATTTAAATATAATTTTTTTATAGCATTGTGACCTGGTAATATATATACTTATAGTTGATGTGAAAATAATTTTACATACTGTAAGTAATTCTAATATATTTAGTTGTTTTAAAAAGAAATATAGTATATCAAAAATTAAAAGTGAAAATATTTTTAAAATCGTTGTTAAATAAAACATATTCTAACCTAAACACATCCCAAAAATCTTTAAATATACAAATAGAAAATAATGCCGTAGGAATTTTTGCCGTTAACAATATTTAAAAAAAAAAAATCCAGACGACATGCATTTAACGGATGTCAGATTTCATTGAAAAATACATCCCTACCCCTACCAAAACGTAACTAATAACTGATACATCAAAATACAGCGATAATGAACACGCAAACACCCCTTGTCTGGTGGAAGTGGATTTCTCTGTATCCTTGGAAACGTAAATTGTGAATTTTTGCAGTGCCTTTAAAATGCTGTAATTTAAAAAATAAGTTACTCCAAAATTCGAAGCTCTTAGCTTCCATTTTTGAAACATGGTTAGAACTGTGTAGCGAAAAAAAATCATATTTTAAATCAGTTAATTTATAATATTAATGCTGTGTAAATTTACATTGAGCACTATTTTGTAAAAGAACACCGTATTATATATCTTACTGTTCTTTCTTTCTTTATATATATATATATATATATATATATATATATATATATATATATATATATATATATATTCAAAAAGAACATTACCTGCTGCTTATTAACCTGAGAGATATTTCTCTTACATTTATATTTACATATGTAAAACTATTAACAGTGACACTGCGTATTGAAATATCATCTCTGAAGCGAGAAATTTGCCAAAATAAATGTTAGTAATAGCTTCCGTTGTCACTTTCATTCTCTTTAGAGGAAATATAATGTGTCAGGTCGGCGTTCGTCAGGATTGAATTCTCAAAGATTAGCTTTCTTTCCATTCATTTGGAATCCTTAATGCGAATTTCGATAACTGGGTCCTCTCAACCGTCTTTTATTTTTCATCTTTTTCAGCTGCCAATTTGGCATTTTCCTACTCATTCTTCCATTCTTTATCATGATCATCGTGTGAGAGTTCAGCATGTCCACAAATTGATGCGAGGTTACAAATCTATAAAATGTCAGACAATGAGATAAGTGTATAACACCCACATGCATCACAGCCAATATTATTACGCAGTGAGAGAGCAACACGCCAAAAAAATAAGGTTAGTCTACACATATACGGGTCCCAATGTACCCATTACTCCAACTAGTAGGTTAAGTGTATAACACGCACATTCACCACAGCCAATATTATTTTGAATTAGAAATTAGCAAGCCAACATAATGGTGTTCCAATACCAATATACGAAGCCCAATATACCCATCATAAAATAGAGTTTAGTAACAGTACACTAAGCACTTTTATCCCATCAATTGTATTTCTGTATTAGAAGATACAAGGTAACATTGACGGACAGTACGCGTACACCCTTGTGCAAATTAATTGAAACAAAAACAATAATTCCGTTATTATTTACTTTCTTCGCATTTTTCCAATGAAACATGATCAAGTACACATGTTAGTACTTCGTATGTCCATTCCACGAAGTCGTTCCTTGCAGATTGACCACAGATTCTCGATTGAATTTAAATCAGGAGAGTTTCCGGGCCAGTCGATAGTACTTTGATTTGCTGACTGGTAAAGCTTGCCAGTGTGTTCGGGCAGCGTTAAATTTCTTTACGCCTCCTTGGAGTAATGTCCACCGCAGACTGTAGACGTAGGACAACTAATCGACAGTCGAGACAGTAGTGTCTGCACTTGATAAAAATCTGATGCAATCACGGATGACGCAATATTTTTCAAGGCCAAATAAATTTCATCATACACCCAAAAAATAAATTCATATTTCTGCACACCATTGCAAATGACCTAATCTGAGGAAAAAAATAGAAATCGATTAAACCCTGTCAGTCCAATGGGACTAAAACTGACCGTATGGTGAAAGTAAGGAAACTAAATCAGTTGTTTCAATTAATTTGCCCAAGGGTGTACACAAAACCAGACAACCCATCAGAACACCCGGTTTGACTATAAACACGCACACACATCCCAGCCAAAATTATTATTATATTAAAAAGCAGCAAGGCAACGCTTAGGCCCTGGAGTACACATATACGAATCTCACTGTACTAATTATGACACTCATTTTGATAAAGGTATACAACGCTCTTTCATCCAATCGATATTATTATTAGATTAGAATGCAGCGGACCAACAAAGTGACGCTGGTCTACACATATACAAAGCCCAAAATATCCGTCATGGCAACGGGTCCGATAAGTGTATAATTGCTACATTAATCACAGTCAATATTACGACGGAGTGACAGAGCAGCATGCCAACAAAATGAAGCTGTTTTACACATACGAAGCCCAAGTTACCATCATGACACTCCGACTGATAAAGGCATATCACGCACAAGCATAAGTCTGTACCAGGCACAGACTCTACGACCTGTCCAACCAATTTCATGTATTTTAATTAATTGCAGCTTATAACCTTGCAAGTGGAAATGGCTGCTCCATACTTTCAACCTTGTGCAAAATCTAAGCTACACTTAGAAAATTACTCTAAACATGCATGTGTGTCACAGTTCGATATATCTTCAGCTCAAGTAAATTAGCCTGTTTAAACGATATCCGATTGGGAGTGTCCCTTAGTATCTTGATGTGATTCTTAAATCGTCTTGTCTGTCTCATGTTTTAAAATTACTATAAAATTACCCCCTGAACTTCTGGCTATGATGCCTAAACATTATTATCCTTCGTGAACAGAGAAGCATAGTGCGCCATCCCTTAGAACAGAGGTTGACAACCTTTTGATGATATATGCCGACTTGGGGTTTTAAAATCATTCAGTGTGCCAACAGCATACGTAGTTTTATACAAGTCAAGATCAATACACCTACTCTACAATATATTTTATATAGTAATATACACAATATTATGTAATTCTTACTAATAGAAAGAAAAAAAACAGTTTTTAAAAGTTGTTTTTATTTGGGTTTTATTATTAATGGGAGTCCAAAGAGTGAGTATTTTTGAAACAGCGAAATATCATTTTTGCGTTGTAGTAGTTTTTGTAGTATTTATTGAAGATGTCATTTGCGGCTGCGTGGCATTGGAAATTGCTAGGCGTGCCACGTGTGGCAAGCGTGCCGTATATTGCCGACTCCAGCATTAGACCAACCAGCAGGTTAAAGTCAGACTACTGTTGAAGAAATCTGCGGTAATGAACGGAATATTTAAAGTAGGCTAACTTAATTTCCCGAGTGAAAGAATCTACATATTGATACTACCAATTAGTTAAGTTTAACATCCCTGAAATCATATATTTTGTACCATCAAGAGACAATCAAAACGGTTAATTATGAGTATGGTTATACAGATAGGGAGATGATTTGATAGAACTTGTAGAATTATAAGAGCCCCTGAGAGGATGAAACACGCCTGATTTATATATATATATATATATATATATATATATATATATATATATATATATATATATATATATATATATAAGAAAGAACTTGGTAAACCGAATTGGTAAATCCAAGGAGGATGAAAGTGGTCTGTTTTTCAATATATATATATATATATATATATATGGGATAAAATATGACATAAAGCTATGCTATATTTATGGGTAAAAGTGTTCAATAGAGCGTGGTAAATGTCGGGGTAGTGTGTATGTAATTATAAGTTTGGTAACCTGCCATCTATCTATCTATCTATCTATCTATCTATCTATCTATCTATCTATCTCTTTCTTTCCCTCTCTCTCTATATATTTTATACGCATATATATATGTATAATATTTATATATATAATATTTATATATATATATGTATATATATACATACATAAATTATGTATATATATATATATATATATATATATATATAAATATATATTCATTTATTTATATTATAATTATTTTTAAAAAATATGATTCCATCACGACACAGAAAATACTTTTTTGAAAGTGGTCATCCGTATTCATGCTTAATTTCAATATTAAACTTTAACTGTTAAAAACAATTATAATTTATGTTCTACTTCTGTATCGAGTACAGTTTTTAATAACAAAAATACTAAAGAACTTCGGATCATTACTTTTAACAGTTCTTTCCTATTATATCAACACACACATACACACACATATATATATATATATATATATATATATATATATATATATCCGATTAATAAATGATGCAGCTTAATATCGTAAAATAATCGTGCAAATAATAGAACAATAAAGTTAATATAATTAAAGGCAAATTCAATTCGCTAACAGATTAAAAAAGCATTAACTTACTGACCACTCATTGAACGGCACGATCCTTGTTTTTATTAATTGTACTATAAATTAGATTTTCGATTCATATTATTCCCAAGTACTTCCGGTGATAAAACTCACCATCTTCAGGCACAGATGTTATTTTCTCTAAATTTCGGGTAAAAATTCCAAGACAAAAATGAATGTGATACATATCGAAAATACTTGCGAATTATATCTAATCCATTGTACAATTAATAAAAACAAGGACCATGTCGTTCGGCGCGTGGTGAGTAAGTTAATCTTAATCTGTTAGCGAAGTGAATTCGCCGTTAATTACATTAACATTATTGATTTATTCTTTTCATGACAATTTTACGATAGATAGATAGATAGATAGATAGATTGTCATCCACAGACAAACTGTTTCGTTCCATCACCATTCATCAGTGTGGTTAGACGTCCGGTTGCCGCTAGCTAGGATCGAATCCCGACTGAATTGGCGTCAGTCGGGGATTCTACCACTATATAGATAGATAGATAGATAGATAGATAGATAGATAGATAGATTGGGGATAAATTTATACAAACTTTTTTTTTATCGCTTCACACCCAAGAAAGGAGGTAATGCCATTATTATGCAGAGGACGTGAAGGAGAAAGAGAAGATTGATGATGGTGAGGATTTAGGAAAGGATAAATATATATTTTAATGTATACTATATTTTTAGGCAAAATTGGTCAATAATGCGAGATAGATGTGAATTTGTGCATGGAAATGTGTGAGAAATTGTGATGGTTTGGGCAGAGAAATTCATGTTAATGCATACATGTACACACATCATATATATATATATATATATATATATATATATATATATATATATATAGAGAGAGAGAGAGAGAGAGAGAGAAAGATAGATACGGATACAAATTATTTATATACAATAAATATATAAATACATAAAAATTATATTTATAATTATATATATATATATATATATATCTATGTATGCATGTATACAAATTAGGTACAATAAAAATATATGAATCAAATATATACATGCATAATTATAATATATATATATATATATATATATATATATATATATATATATATATATATATATATATATATATATATATATATATATATATATATATATATATATATATATATATATATATATATATATATATATATGCGTGTGTATGTGTGCGCCTTTGTTTGTGTAGATTTAGAGTAGGAGAGAGCAAGTGATTTTTAAAAGTAGAAGGAATGTTATATGAACTATAACAAAATAATATTTATTAAAAGCATATTAAAAATGCTTTCAAAAACATATATAGAATAATATATACAAGCACCGCATAAAACGAACGCCTCAGAATATGACAGAAAAAAAAGTACATAATGCATCCTTTATGTTGTTTTGACACGTTCTATCCCATCATGCTCTGTTTTCCCGCCCCAATCTCGCTAAAGTATCGCATCTTTGTATAAGAAGAAGCCCATCAACAGATAATAGTCTTTCTTTTACGGCTTTTCTCCGACAGTTAAAAGTGATGCGTTTTGTTATTAAAAAGTGAAATTGCAATAAAAAAAAAGAAGTGAAACAATAAAGAACTTTATTTATGACAAAGTCCTTTTTATTCTTTTTTTTAATTGTTGTGGGGCATGACATTCTAAGGATAACGTGTTTTCATTATGTCTTCTTCATATTTTTCTTTCTTTCTTTCCGGCAATCATTTTGTTGTTTTGTCGACTTCTGTTATTACTTTTATTACTATTTGCCATTGTTCTTTCCTAACTTTATTCTCTTTTTCTATTTCTCGCATATTTTGGCAGGCGTCTTTTATTTTTACTTTCATTCGCCATATTTTCTTCGCTGATCCGATGACGTAATCTCATTCTGATTTATTGCTCCTGATTTCTTTCTATCTTCAGTCAATTCCTTCTTCCTACCTCTGTTCGTTGGGTGCATTTTATGGGTTGGATGTGCGGTGTGGTCGACTAAATAGCAGCTCGGAATGTGAAAGCTACGTTCGGATTCAATTCTTGCTCGGTACATTCACTTACCCGCAAATACACTTGCGAAAAGATGAGATAGATATCACAATTAAGTTAATTTCGACGACACAGGCTGGAGGCAGGCATAGATCGCTTTGAGTTTCGGAGGCCTGGGCTTTTGCTCAGCAGCGGTTTTGGCCCTTCCAGTCGCCAATTAATTGATGAGATACTTAATTGATGGATCGTCGCAGTGTTTCTCTTGTAGTTCTTTCGAACAAGCTTTCAGCATCTGGGCCCAAGAATTACCTCCTATCCCACTAGACACATCAAAACAAAAAAGCTGGGATAAAAGAAAATGTGAGACCAATTTTAGTAATTTGGGTCTCTCTCTCTCTCTCTCTCTCTCTCTCTCTCTCTCTCTCTCTTTCTCTCTCTCTTTCTCTCTGGTATCGCCTCGCCTATCTACTATCCGCTTCACAACCGAGTATTGGCGTCTGGTCCAACGTAATGCCCTCTTCATCTACCTGTACCCTTCTGAGTCGCGATCCGTCTTGGACTCAAACTGTGTGAGAGTCACGGATGCAGATGTGAAGCTTCCATCGGTGAGTTTGGTTTGCATCCTCTCTCCTGTCGTCGTAATGCCGGTCGATTTCCACGGCATGCAGCCATTAACGACATCACCAGAAGAGGTTTAAATGCAGCTGGGTTCCCTCCCCAAATCGAAACCCTCGACCGAAGTGATGAAAAGCGACCGAATAGCATTACCATTTACTCTTTTTAAAATGAGGAAGTCGTTGATTTGGGATTCGACCTGTGCGGATAAATTTTCGGCCGGTAATTTTATCAGGTCCGCGGTTGACCTGGGTTCCGTCACCCGGAATTCAGAGATAAAAAAAAAATAGTCAATTATTCTTCCCTTGCTGATAGATTTATTTTTTACTCCTGTGGGAATGAAAACTTCTGGGGTTATTGGCCCTCGTTCGATGGCGTTCCTTCGGAGGATTGGCGCGATTGCGTCTCGATTGTGTCTCGATTAAGGGACGAGCCTCGCGAAACGGAGTGACACTTGCAGCGTGTCTCACTGGCGATAGTTCGGGTAATGCTTTCTCCATCATTGCGGCTGGCAGAGGATAGAAAAAAAATCAATTTGTTTATAGTTATTTTTCGAATAACTCGAAGAGACACTGGGATTCTGGGCCGGGCCCACGTCTGAAAATATGACACCATATTTTTCTTTCTTTCGGAAACATTTTTTGTTTAAATCGAGAATGTTTCATCTCTACTTCGTAAAATATTTCAAACTATTTTAAGATGACCTCCACATAGTTTTAATAGTTACTTTGTTTTAAAGTCATTTCGATTTGGCCTCAATCACTTCTCCACCAAACTATGGTTTGAATAGCAGGACAGACTTGATCCTATACCCTTGGTTGGCAAACAGTATGCCGGAGAAACAGCAGCTTACTGCAGAAAATCTTCTAACAAGTCACTGATGAAACCAAAGCATTTTTCAAAATTTGGCATATGGCTGACTGATCTCTGACTAATATTTGCTTTATTTCTTTGATGAAATATAGATCCAAATAAAGCATCTTATAGGGTGTTATTGGATTCGTTTTCTACAGATTATAAATCTTTTGCAGATAATTCGAAGCCAGAAATATTTTTGATTGTAATAATAATGAATTAGTTATGCAATTCTTACTAATTAACCCATAGCTAGTGGAGAAGAGGTGGATATATTATTTCCCTAGGGTATTATATAAATGAATATAACGAAACGAACTAGAATTGAACTCGGTTCTTGGATTAACAATTCCAATCCATTATCCCTACACCAACTGCACATTTCAAGCTTAAAGCACTCAGTATTCGCAAGCGGTCAACCATCTAGGTACTGAACGGGCTTAACATTGCTTAACTTTGGTGATCGCACTGCTGTTTTGACGTGATATGTTCGTATAAACCAAGTTGTTTTAATGGAAAATATAAGCAATAAAATGTCGGATAAAATTTAAATATATTAATTCTTTTGGATAGACATATAATGATAAACTAAATAACACATCATTTCATTAGATTATGATATTTGTACGGAAATATTTGTTACGCATGTAAATATATGTATGTATATCATAAATTATTATTTTCCCCCAGATATGGTTTAAATAGTAAGACTTGCATATGGAGAAATCATTGTTATTTCCCAAAAAATTTTAATGCAATATTCACTCGCAAAATAAATAGGGAATTATTCTTACAATCCAAAATATGTTTCAGCTATAAATAAAGCAAAAAAGGGTTGATAACCCATAAAAACTAAATCAATCAATAAATACGTAATATACTTTGAGTATAGGACGATAGCCTAACCATTTTCTGGTGATGTGTCTTTTGTAGCAGAAAAGTCTTATAGGCCGCAGTTTCTAACTTCACTACCAACTGGTTTTGGATTTAGACCAGCACGAAGTTTATATATATATATATATATATATATATATATATATATATATATATATATATATTTCAAAATGCCACCTGAATTTTAAAAAAGGACATAATTCTCTATGTTAACTATACTTCAATGGAATTCTTTTAAATAATTTCCTAACAATAAACACACATCAAAAAACATCCCTATATGACATCACCAACATTTAATGAATCGATGCTTAACTAGGCTTAAAAATTCTTAAGTATGTTTGTCTACCACAACAGATGTTTACGTAAAAGCATTCACAAATCAACAAGATGCTACTACTACTACTACTACTACTACACACACAAACACAGCGTCCTGGGTATGACGATAAACTACATCCGCGTCCTGAACAAGACGATAAACTACGTCCAACAGCAAGGCCTCTGATAAACCGTTTTGGAAAAAATAATATTACCAGCAATACGTTTTTTTTGAAAAAAAAATATTACCAGCTATATGTTTTTGAAAAAATAATATTACCAGCTATACGTTTTTGAGGAAAAAGCATTAACAGAAATAAATTTTTGACCAATCAAAAGTATGACCAGGAAAAAAAAAAGATGTCATCATTAAATGACCCATTGAGGTTCATATGCCATAAAACAAACCAAACCAAACCAAACCAAACCAAAACACACACACACACACAGACACACACACACTTATGAATATACATTACCAGTCCTAATATACACAAATTAAATTAAAAGATACACTTAGATACCTAAAGCAATATTTACGTTTTTTTTTCTTTAGGCTTGGAATCAAATAATTTTTTGCAGCAGCGAAAAGGTGCCTCGTTTTGCCTTGAATTCGAAACGCCTTGAATTATACTAACACTGCTTAAAAATTCAAGGCTGACTAACTAAAAAATAACCGAATTTTCTTTTTTTTTCTCTACATCACCTGTCTGACGAAGCTTTAAGTCAATCATTTTAGATTGATAAATGTTTCTTATTTGTTCTTTATACTATCATATATATTTAACATTTGCTGGTCATTGCCAAAAATTAGTTGGAGAAATATTAAAATCTAGAACTATTCGAAGACAAAGATTGTACGAATTTTCAAAGGGAGAGCATAAGTTTTAGATCGGGAACGTCAAAATTAAGCAATTATCAGAGCTTAAGAACCGACGTTAGGTTATTCAAGAATTTAAAAAAATACAAACCAAAAATCAATGATTTTTGGTTTTGATTTACTTGAAATATTCACCCTTTGAGTTACCGGTTGAACAGTGGTCGAGAAAAATGACTTAATCCCCCCCAGATACCGGATGAACGGTGGGTAAACACTTGTAAGTACTTTCATATCTACCACTAAACATATCAATTATTTGCGAATTTTGTCTCAGGAGCTCAAAAATTGTTCAGGAAAAACAGGGATCAAAGGATTGATCATTTCAAGGACACATGGCATAGTGGATAAAGACGTTAGTTAGATCCAGTGACAGGACCCAAAGAGTGTGAGTTCAATACCTGGTTAAGGCGGTGGAGAACTTGGAGAGGAGAATTAACAGGAGATAGTTGATAATAGTTTTGCCAAGCGGAGAATATAAAAAAGTCTATTGAATAACGAAAAAAGGTTGATAAAAAAAACAAAAAAACTGGCTTGTAACTTTATATACTTTAGGAGCTAGGTGAGTAACTTTTCGTTCTCAGGAAGCAAATCCTGTTATGGCTCTCTGCAATCTAATCTAATTCTGTGATTTATTTATTTTTTAATCCTGTCCCTCCATCAATTTTCTCAAGTAAGTCAAGTACGTTCTGCATTGTGTTCCTCTTTTCCTCTTGCCCTCAATCCGACCCGTAAGCATCAGATATTCCCCGGCCTTGCTGCTCATTTCCTGCCCTAAAATTTCAACTCTTTCTTTCTGGTGTTAAGTATCAGTTTGCCTTTTGTCTCCATTTTCTGTAAAACCTCATAGTTTTTCACATGTTATTTCATGTCATCCTAAGCATCTTCCTGTAGAACAGCATTTCTGTTGCTTCAAGTCTTTTTTTAATCTCTGAGGAAATCGTCAAGCATTTACTACCATATAGGAGGACAGATGGACACCTCGACGTAGTGTAATGGTTGGCAAGATTGCCTTGCTAGAAAAATTATGACTGAATAGTGAGTTCGATCCTTACTGGATTCCTCCATACTTTTGGCCTTGTGCCATATTTAGGCTGCGCTTAGAAAATTACCATATGGGATATTACGTAACAGTTCAGTACACTTTTCTTTGCTTCTAAAGATGTTTTCAGTCTCTTAATACTCTGCTTAGCTTTTGAAGCGCATCTTCGGCTATTTCAATGATTCTTCGGATTTCACTGTCATATTTTCCATCCTCTGTGAGAACATTTCTTAGATTATTTATTTTCTTTTTTTACTTAGACGCTGGAAAAGTGGTCGTCTTCAAATATCAATCGGACTTTTCTCAACCGGTCATCTATGTTTTAAAAAATGTCAGATCAGACCAGAAATGGAATATTCTTGCCAAATTTGGCTCTGATTGATGCAGTCATCTCTTTCCAGCATTTACGGTGTTCCAAAGCGCTTATACGGTCTTCTAGATGATGAATTATTTTCCACTCCAATCTCTTTATCACTGGTGCAAATTATTAAGCCTATCGCCATTTGCATGGAGATTATATGACTATTTTTCGCTCTTTTTTTCCCTCTATCTCTTTTATCCCCTTTTTTCTTTCTTCCTACTTTCATTCATATTCCTCTTTTTTATTACTTTTTTTTGTTTTCATTGCCTTGTTTTTTTTCTAAATCTAGCTCGCTGTCTAACTTTCTTATTCTTTTCTTCCTTATTTACAGTATTTAGAATATTCGAACAGTTGTCCACACCTTTATTGCCAAAGCCACCAATTACTGTACTTATTGGGCCTTAACTGCATCGAATTCGTGTCTATAGAATTTATCCAGGTCATGTTGGGGTCTTTCTGTGAATATGCTAAACAAGGTGACGACATCAGTATGAATAATATAAACAGAATAAATAGTTACAATAACCCATCTCAGATATATAGACTGTTCTTTCTTCTTTTTCCTTCATCTTTTTTTCTTTTTCCTTTCCTTTTACGAAAGTTTTACCTTTCTTTTTTTGTTTTCCTTCCTATTTTCCAGTTCCACCATTGCTTCTTCTAAATAATTCAAAATTCTTTCATCTTATAAATTTAAATATTCACACTTATTGATTCTCGCCCTTTTCTTTTTCTTTTAATTTTTTCTCGTTTTTTTTATTCGTTTATTCTTTTTCGACTTCGTTCTTTGTTCATCTTTATTTCATTGCACCGTTCTTTCAATGGCATCATTGTTCCTACCAAATTTTATTGACTCAATTCATTTTTCTTTATTTCCTTCAAGATATATTTCTTTTTACCTGTTCCTATTTTCTTGATGTTTGATATTTTCCCCTATTCCGACATTTTGCTTCTTGTATTTTTTGAAAACTGTCACTTACAAATTTACAACTCCGCTATCAGAAAAATAAATAAACAGTTCTACTCGCTTTTGTTTTAGAAATTTTCTTAATAAACCCACTATTTCACAACTTGTTTCTAACTTCGTTTTTATTACACGCGCCATTTTTCATAAAGAACCACTTACTTTTCCTTTGTTATCGATTTGAAATCACTTATTCCTTTCTCGTTGCGCTATTTCTTGGTGGCCATGATGAATTACTGTGGCTTTCATTTTAGTATTATTTTCCCGCTAATGTTGTACGCCAAGTATCAGGAGATACGTTCAGACGAATAACAAATGAAATTTAGCTCTAAAAAAATCTACTTTTATCAACGCCATTTTCCTTTCCGTTTAATTCTTTTTCAAAGATTCACCACATTTCCTCAAGGTACAACTAAAAATACGAATGTCTTAATATTTTCTCTTGTAATATTTATAATTCTATGAAAATATTTAAATAAAAAACAACAACAATGTCCACATTGAAATTTTCACACTTAGATTTCGGTGGGAATCACGTGAGAAGACTCCTGCTCAATATCCTGTATCTTCCAGATATGGCTTAAATAGTAAGACTTGCATATGAAGAAATCGTTGTTATTTCCCAAAAACTGTTAAGGCAATATTCACTCACAAAATAAAAAAAAGGAATAATTCTTAGAATCCAAAATATGTTTCAGCTATAAATAAACCAAAAAGGGTTGATAAACCATAAAAACCAAATGAATCAATAAATACGTAATATTCTTGCAGTATAGGACGATGGCCTAAACATGTTTTTCTCGTGTGTCTTTTGTAGCAGACAATTTTTTATGGGTCGCAGTTTCTAACTTTACTAGCAACTGGTTTTGGATTCAGATTAAGAGAACGAAGTTTATATATATATATATATATATATATATATATATATATATGAAAAAACCATCCCTATCTGACATCACCAACATTTAATGAATCTATGCTTAACTAGGCTTAAAAATTCTTAAGTATGTTTGTCTACCACAACAGATGGTTACGTAAAAACGTTCACAGATCAACAAGATACTACTACTACTACTACTACTACACACAAGCAGCGTCCTGGGTATGACGATAAACTACATCAGCGTCCTGGGTATGACAATAAACTACATATGCGTCCTGGGTCTGGCGATAAACTGCATCCTCATCCTGGGTATGACGATAAACTACAACAGCGTCCCGGGTAAGACGATAAACTACATCCGCGTCCTGAGTATGACGATAAACTACATCAGCATCCTGGGTATGACGATAAACTACATCAGCGTCCTGGGTATGACGATAAATTACATCCGCGTCATAGGTATGGCGATAAACTGCATCCACGTCCTGGGTAAGACGATAAACTACATCCGCGTCCTGAGTATGACGATAAACTACATAAGCGTCCTGGGTATGACGATAAACGACATCCGCGTCCTAGGTATGACGATAAACTGCATCCGCGTCCTGGGTAAGACGATAAACTACATCCGCGTCCTGGGCAATCGATAAACTACGTCCAACAGCAAGGCCTCTGATAATACGTTTTTGAAAAGAATAATATTACCAGCTATACGTTTTTTGAAAAAATATTACCAGCTATACGTTTTTGAGGAACAAATATTAACAAAAATAGATTTTTAACAAATAAAAAATATTACCTGGAAAAAAAAACTTGTTGGCATTAAATGTCCCATTGAGGTTGATATGATGTAAAACAAACCAAACCAAACCAAACCAAACCAAAATACACACACACACGCACACACTTATGAATATACATTACCAATGTCCACATTGCAATTTTCTCATTTGTAGATTTCGGTGGAAATCATGTGATAAAACGCCTGTTCAATATCCTGCATCTCTGCTTTAGTAATACTGTCGTCTGTTTCTTTGGAAATCCATGCTTATTGAAAATGATGCATTCGTCAACTTTTTCGAAATTGTTGCTAAAGTCCAGCATTTTTTTACTTTCTTTCCAGTAGCATTTTATTATCTAGTTATACTTTCTTTTGGACACATGACCAACTGATTGAAATTGCTTTCCGACCATGAGAGCCGGGTTCGACTTCTTGATGTTATATGCCTGTAGAGGCGATCCCAATCTGTGGAAACTTTGGAAATAGTATGAAAAAAAAAAGAGTGTCATTTCATAGCAGTTCAGCAGTTTTCTTTGTTTCTAATAAGCCTTTTTTTCCCTACATTTTAATATTTCCTTTATTTTTTGAAAGACATCTGAAAATTCTTGTCGGTATTAAACGAAACCAAACCAAAGAAGGCGTACACTGTTGCTTTCCCGGAGTTTAGCATCAGCCATGCTGATGGCAGACTGAAAAGTTTCTCGATAGTGATTAAATAAAAGCAGATTTGTTTTGGCGGGGTTAAAATTTACAGGCCATGTTTGCCCCTCTTAACCACTTATTGGAGAGCCTTTTCGAGAGCAGTTGCCAGATCTACTTTTTCGGACTCGCTCCTAAGACATCAGTAAATACTTGTGTCATCTGCATAAATAACTAGTTGATCATTGATTAATCTAGAAGCTTACCACGGGTATATTAATGTCTATAATGCGGGAACCCGAACTATGAAGATCATTTCTTGCGCAGTACCAGAAACTCGAATCAAGCATCTTAACTCGTATGGTCTTCTTTCAGTTAAATAATATGACTTTCTTTGCTCTAACCTAGAGGTTCCCAACCAATATTGTGCCAGGCACCCACTGTAATATTTAATTCTTACATATTCAGAATTTTACTGCAATTCACGTGAAGGAAGCTTAAATGGTATTAACTTGGTCTCTAAACAACTCTCTTAAGACAATGGCGTCCATAAAAGAGAAAACTTAAAAAAACGAAAAGACAGTAATATATAGTTTCAAAACATTTCATAGAGAAGTGAAAGGCAGAAATGTAAAATATTTGAATGAAAGCTTATTCTGTAACATACTTTTATCATTTTAATCATGAAATAATAATGCAAAAATGAAATTTCAGCTCATATTGTTATAGTAAGCCCAAGGGTGCACATTCTACGCATACCCCACCAAAATATTACCATGCTCCACCGATGGAGCATGCGCCCCACGTTGGGAATCATTACTGATGTGTTAACGCTTATTTCCGAAAGAGTCTATCAAATTTCGATAAGAATGGTGGAACCCGGGCTGTTCCATTGGATATGTCGAAAGCGCTTGACAAGATTTGGCATATTCGTCTTTTCCTCAAACTGAAAGCTATTTCTGGAAGGAATTTTTGAACTGATTCAATATTTGTTATCAAATCAGACAATGAATGGACACTCTTATAGTCCCCTCTTCGTAGTAATGCAGGCGTCCTTGATACTAATTTTCACCAACGATCTATTCTAATGGAAACCATTTATTCTTGCTTTTGTGCGCGGTTTGTTAATGGTCAAATCGCAACAGATCTCGGAATTGACCCACATTCTGTTATTAACAATGCTTAAAATCATTACAGTTGTCGACTTTCGACTTGACTTCAATTCTCAAGTCAAATGGGCAGGAAACTTCTGGGGATCCAACATGAATATATCTGGTTTATTGTTCATTAAATTTTTAGTCTGTATCGGAATATTCCAGAGGATTTTCACTTTCTTCTTCTTCTTCTTCTTCTTCTTCTTCTTCTTCTTCTCTGCTTCTTCTACTTCTTCTTCTTCATCTCCTCCTCCTCCACTTCGTCTTCTTCTTCCTCCTCTTCTTCTTCTTCTTCTTCTTCTTCTTCTTCTTATTATTATTATTATTATTATTATTATTATTATTATTATTACATAGATGGGCACCAGTGGAACTTGCAGAACATTCTATACCAAACAACTGTAATTTCGGTGAACATCTTAAGGTCCACATGCTAGAAATATCCAGTATTCACTGACCTTTCGACCCTTAAAATGTATGATGATAGTTTCATATGCAAACTACTAACGTCCCACCCAGGGGGAATTAACAAACTGACAGTATTGTTCCTTAAAATTTATATTATTATTATTATTAAGAAAATTGCATGCCGTATTTAAATTATCACGTGTTGCGCATTTCAAATAGCAATAGACCATGTAAATATCTTCCTCTGCCGGCATCGACAAACATTGTTCGTAATTCTGGTTTCCTGAAGGACCCTCTGTTCGAAACACGGTGAAAACTTTACACAACCGTTACAGATTTTTTTCTCTTCAATAAATATCGAACAATATACCAGATCCATTCAATAAAAGATGAATGAATTACAATATATGAGAACATATAAGTGAAGGCCTTTTTACCCCAAGAAATGGCTCGAAAAAAATCGCTCTTCATTTTATATATGAATTTGAAGCCTACCGTAAGCGAATTCTACCTCCAACTACGAAAATAGTAGGTTAAAATATTACCTCCGATTGTCACGTCTGACCTATGACAATGTATTCATCCAAACATCCTTATTATTATTAATAGTATTACTATCGTATCTTTCGCAAGCAAACTCGTAACAAAAGATCATGAGACAGGTCATTCCTTTGTAGTGAGTTCGAACTAATAGTAACTCCCTTCACCCTTCAAATTCAGAGGGCTGAGAAAGAAGGAGGAAAGGAATTTACAAGCCTATGTGAAATTCTTTTGTGATCAATGAAAATCTTCTCATCTCAAAAATTAGCCAGTCAGCAAAGAAGAAAAAAAGAAGGGCATTTGAATGCATGTGAAGGGTTTTGTTTCCGTTCCTCGCAACCAGCGTTGAATTTCTCACCATTATAAAAGTGGTCGCCAATTATCGGTCACTAAACAGTACACGGCATTTGGAAGATGTTTCTTTCAACAATTCAAGAAAGCTAAGTATTTCAGACAATCTCGCTTCGTCTAATTCTGAACGTATTCAAACCATATATCCTTTCAGTGAGCTTTCTTAGCGTTGTCTTAAAAATTTTAATACTATTCTCTGTTAAATCATTTAATCTGTTGTATGAGCATCTCCTCTTGATGAAAATACCTTAAAGCTAGGAACTTCAAGAAGTCTGTTCGATTTTTCTGAAATGAGCTAATGACATTACATCAAGCGTGTTAATTCGTGAATGAACTCTTTATCCGTGTGTTTCATTGTCATTATTAGCCTTCATTAATGTCCTTGGCATGTGTAAATCTACTGTTCATTTTAATACCTAAGCCCTATATCTTCACTTACCTACATCGACAAATCCTTTCTCAGGATTCTGGCTGTCCCAATCAGTGCTGACGTCTAAAATATCTTAATTGGAATCAAAGAGACAATTTTACACAAACTAAATATATGCTTCTAGACACAAATATAAAGGATCAATATTGACCTGTACCCGAACTGACTATGTGCTTATAGACTCGAATATAAATCATTATATATCCCCAACATTTCCAGCAGTAGACCTTGCAATTGATTCAATATAATCACTCCATCTCATATCAGAGGAAGACGTGAGACCAAGAAGTCACAAAGTGTTGCTCCCCTGGTGTTTAGCATCAGCCATACAGATGACAGTCACAATAGGTTTACATATCCCCAAACCAAGAGACGATAAACTACATCCGTCTGTAAGGCCTCTGATCGGGAGATTGGAGATTCTGAGGATTAAGATGGGCTTCCACGCCCATCTTAATTGCGGCTGTTTCCAAGTACATCCTGCTCCGGGGTGGCAGCACCTGTTAGGCTTCCAGCTATGAGCAAACATCTAATCCAAGCAAAAACACTGAAAGTATAAAAATAAGATTTATAGTAAAAATACCATCAGTACATTCTTATGTTAAAAAATGACCAATACATATTTAGTGCCAAATTACCAACAATACATATTTAGTGCCAAATTACCAGCAATACATGCTTATGGCAAAATTACCAGCAATGTTTATAGAGTAATGGCCAACCAATATGTATTACAGAAAAATGATCAAAAAAATTATCTCTATCTGAAGGCATACACTTGCGTTCAAAATATATTTAGTTGAAGCTATAAAATATTGTTAAACATATTGTGATTTCGGCATCAAATAAGGCCTATTGGCTGATATGGCTTCTAATATGGCTCTGGTGTGTTTGGGAATAGCCTTTCCTTGTCTACATGTCTACGGTTTGACTCAGTTAATTGCCGTGTTACTGCAATACTGGATAATGTTTCATTTTCGTCTGCTACAGATTTTTTCGATAATGCCTCGTTTTCGTCTCCTACAGACTTTTTTCAATAATGTCTCGTTTTCGTCTGCTACAGATTTATTCGATAATGTTTCGTTTTCGTCTGCTACAGATTTATATTTGATAATGTCTCGTTTTCGCCTGCTACAGATTTTTTTTCGATAACGTCTCGTTTTCGTCTGCTACAGCTTTATTTTCGATAATTTCTCGTATTCGTCTGCTACAGATTTTTTTTTCTTTTAAAGTTTTAACATCGCCATATTTTCTAGGTTGTAGCGTCTTTCTATCCTTATCAATTTTCTTCTTTCTTCGTCCAATGTCGCTGGCTTCTCTCTACTCTTTTGATTATTAACAATATCATTCTTAATTTCTGACCATTTTCTATTGCTAGACTTGTAAAAAAGAAAAGTTTTATCATGTCAACATGCAGGAAGCACTTTAAAATTTAAAAAAAAACACGAAAATAAGATGGAGTCACAAAGAACTGCATGTATTTGGCATAAAACTGACAAAAGAAGTAATGTAATTTATAATATGAAATACAAGAAATAACCTTAAGTATATAATGTGATAAATATAAATGGTAATAAATTTGACGTTAACAAGTTATTTGGGTGGAGAGAAAAATGATCTTGCACCTGACCGACCACGCGTATGTTCAGACTGAATCTCCACAGTAACAATGAGCCTTCATCAACCCCCCGCGCCACTATCAACATGTCACTCAGTATAACATTCAGCACTATGTTTTAATACCGTTATTTTCTTTAATACATCTAACATATATATATATATATATATATATATATATATATATATTTTGGTCCGATTTCAATAAGTGCTGGTTCATTTTCTGATTTTCGTGAGCCTGTCAAATTTTCACTCAAATGTTTTCATTCCATTCTTCTGTTACTTCATATTTCAGAGGTACTCACAATAGAGAATCGACATTTATCAAAAGAATTATAGACAGTACTGAATAATAATAATAATAATAATAATAAACTTATTTCCGTCTATCATTTATTGCTTTCTAGTTCTATAAATCTTTCCGACTTCTGACAATAATTTTTTTTATTACACGGTGTTGCATCATGGGTAATTATTCTTTGGTTTATTTTTTTGTGTTTTTTTTTATCTTTCGAAATATCACACTACTAAAACTCGGACTGAGAAGAAAATAAATGTTGGATAATTACATTTGTGTTTTCTCTCAAACATCAAATCATTAGGTAGATAAAAAAGAAGATGGAGATTTCAGAATGGACGATGGTTCACAGTTATTTCATTGCATCCGATCGTTTTTCATTTTTGGAAATAGTCATTCAATAGCCTCAACAAAACGCAAATTACAATCGGCTTGTACATAAAAGGACGATTGTACAGCCCTACAGAAGAAAGTTACTTTGTAATTTGAACTGTTATCAAACATAGGTCCTCCTCTATGTCAATGAATGCTGGACAATCTCCTCCTAGAAACATGATTTTACAGAAGGTTGCTTAGAATGTCAGGGACTGCACATGTGACCAACGAAGAAGTTTTGGAGAAAATGGAAACAAAAAAGACAATTATACTTATAGCACCAGAAAGAGACAGTTGACCTTTCTTGGGCACATAATGTGGAAAGTATGCTTGGAAAATTTGACACTCACAAGCCATATAAAAAGCAAGAGAGACCAAGGAAAACAGTACAAAATCTACGAATTTGTGTAAATAGATGTCAGAAGATGATTTAGAGGAGATCGTAAAAAGATATAATTTACTAAACGCTATAAAAGACAGGAGATTGTGGAGAGCAATGGTCGCCAATATGCTGAAGGAATACGGAACAAATAATATTAAGATGAACACTGACTCAAACTACTTATATTCCTCTCTGTCTCCCATGAAGTTTAGCTTTTTTATAGCTTTTCTTGGCTTTTCTATGTATGTTTTAGTCTAACTTACGTATCAAGGCACCAAGTGTACTTTATTTAACAGCTTTTTTCATCCCCAAATATGTGAAATTGTTATAGGGAAACACACCTATTCTATTGTTAATAGACTCTCCCACCTATAATAAGTAGGATTAGCAAGAGTAGTAGTAGCAGTCGCTCAGTGAGTCTGTCTGAGTTCAGTCTGAAGTCGGACGACCGGCTGACCGGTTGAACTCTCTGCCTTCGGGCGGGGAGGAACCCGAAGGAGGCTACGCCGAAGGGCGGAGTCTCTTTCGGGGAGGTAAACCGACCCTGAACCCGTTTATACGCGTTCAATGGGCATATTTTTGGCCAAGCCCACGGGCTCAGAGATCCAGCGTTAAACCGGCCTTGTGTCACATGATGTCCACGTGGCGGGAGTGACTAAATACCGTCGGTCAGTGAGTTGGTCAGTCAGTCAATGTCGTTACTCGGATATTAAAGTATCAACCACCACAACTAGATTTCTGCGTCATTAACTATTATACCAAGTTCTTAACGTTTTGTACATCGAACCTATTTTAGGATCGACTTAGTACAAATACAAGCCTCCACTGTGAAACCACTACATAACAATTTGGCGACGAGGGATTCGGATTCATACGGAGGAATAAAAACCTTTTTGTACTACATAACAGAAATGCAGTGCTGTTTTCTTACCTGTAGTGATTTCGTAAAATTTGTTTTGTATTCTTTCAATGATACATCAATCACCACTCTGAGAAATCTCTTGTTTGCTCCAAGCCTAACATCAAAATCCAGCTTTTGTGTGTTTTATATATTACACAAAGGCGTTCGATAAAGTACGATATAAAGGTCGGTTGGAATTGCTCAGCAACCTTGATTTAGTTGGGAAAGATATTAGAATAATCCAGAACCTATACTAGCAGTAAACAGTCTGCATATGGGTAGAAATAAGTTCAGCAGATAGACAAACATAGCAAAGGGTGTACGACAAGGATGTGTCTTCTCACCGGACTTATTCAGCCTATAGAGCGAGATGATTCCGAGTGAACTAGAAGTCCTACCATGATTTATTGTTGGTGGCCAAAATCTTAACAATGTAAGATACGCAGATGATACAGAGTTCAAAACAGACACAGAAAGAAAACTATAAAACTTTTACAGAAGATAGTGGAGGAAAGCGAGAAGAAAGCACTGAACATCAAATGCAAGAAGACATAATGCATGGTTTCTAGCAAAAAGATGAGCCCAAAGTACGAATTTCAAATTGGACGTACCAAACTGAAATACATACCGAAATTTTAATATATGGGAAGGGTTTTAACGAAGGAACGAAAGAGCGATACTGAGATCCGAAGACGCGATGGGATACCAACATCTTAGCAGTATATTAAGATATAGTAACATTTCGAAAAAAGCAAGAAAAAGAGTACTAAACGGCTATGTGATATCTGTTCTTCTGTATAGCAGTGAGTGCAGAACTATCTCCTCATAGATGAAGAAGAGGCTTGAAGTAACAGAAATCTCGTTCTACAGAAGGATGCTAAATATACCGTGGACCGAACACGTAAGTTCTGGAGAAAATGAAAACAAAACGGAAATTAATACTTAACATCAGAAGAGCCATTTGAGGTACCTGGAGCCAATGAGGAAGGAGTACTTGGAAAATACGATACTCAGGAGACAGACAGAGGATAAGAGAGACAAAGGAAACAATGTGTAATATAGTTAATGAGCTTGAGTAAATAGATAAGAAATAGGACTTGGGAGATATGACAGACATGGCCGAAAGGCAAAGTTTATTTAGAAATACAAAGGATAGGAGATTGTGGAAGGAGAAGAAAAATAATAACAATAAGAAGAAGAAGAAGAAAAGAAGAAGAAGAAGAAGATGATGGTGATGATGATGATGATGATGATGATGAAGAAGAAAAAGCAGCATCAGAAGAAGATGAAAGGAAGAGGGAGAAGAAGAAGCAGCAAAAGAAGACATAGAAGAAATAGAAGAAAGAGAAAAAGAAAGAGAAGCAGCAGCAGAAGAAGAAAAGTAGAAAAAGTAGAAGCAGCAGCAGCAGCAGAAGAAGAAGAAGAAGAACCCAATAATTGGGAAAAAGAGAAAAACAATGAAGATTATGTGTAGACACGAAGAAGAAGAAGAAGAAGAAGAAGAAGAATGAATGAAATATCGGAGCGAGAGAAGAAGAAGAAGAAGAAGAAGAAGAAGAAGAAGAAGAAGAAGAAGTCTATTTTCACCGTGGCTAGGGAAGAGGCTTATTTTCATGACTTTAGGTGTTCGAATTAAAAACCCTCCCCATGTTGTTCAGGGTACCCCAGGCTTGCCAATTTCTGATTTCTCTGACCTCTTCACTTCACTAAATCCAAGCAGCACGTTGCCTGGAGTTTTCCCTTTGTTTCAGATTATTTCTTCCTCATATGATAAACTCGGCTTCTCGTTGAATATATAACATAGAGGCAGCTGTCTTGAAATATTAATGTAATCCTATAACGACTTCTGCAGTTGGAGATACATAAAGCAGAGGCCAAATTTTAAGAACTACCTTCTAGATTTTATAATTAGTAAATTCCATACCATCTTTGGTCGGTCGGTTGTTTTTGTTTAGCGGCATATCAGCCTCTACGAGGGCACGCCCATGTGGTGAAATCATTAGGAGACTTGTCTCGCTAGATCTGTTACGACTGAAAAGTTTGATCCTCATTGTGTGCCCCAAATTTTCGACCTTGTGTCAAATCTGAGCTACACTCGGAAAATCGTCATATCAACTTCTATAATGCTGGGATCTAAATATTGTCTACGCAGTTTGTTTAGTTCTTTTTTTGATAATAATGCTTTCAGTGATACATGTTTTACTAATTAACCCATAGTTTGAGGGAGAAGATGTGTATTCATACATTTCCCAGGGGTATTTGTGCGTAAGTAAATATAACGAACACAACTGGAATTGGAACACGGCTCTCCGATAAATAATATCATTACACCACGCACACATTGAAGCTTAAAGCCATTGGCATTCAAAAGCGGTCACCCGTCTAGGTACTGACCAGGCTCAATGTTGCTTTATATCGGTGATCTTACGTGAACCAGTGTTGCAACGTGATGCAGCAGTAAACCGATCTTTATTGGTTTAAGCTAGGATGCTGAAACTATTTAATCAATTCGGGCATATAGTCTATTGCTTTTCGAGGGGCTGCGTGAAATTTATAATCTGCCAACTCTTCTACTTCTGCTATATGCCATGTCCTTTCTGGATGTTGACCCGGCCAGAAACTATCCTCTAGCTTACCAAAAGGACCCATATCCCTGGCGTATTCTCTGTATAATATCCGCATCAAGGGAGCCATCATTAAATAATGTACTACCAAGGTAGACAAACTCTTTGGCGTCTCTTCCCATTGACAAAAGCGTGGGGTTCC